CCTGCTGAAATCAAGTTGGGCTAAAGATTTTACAGAATCTTTACAAGATTCCTGACTGGAACGGGCAAAACTCCGAGTTCAGGTCAGCACAACTGTTAGCATTCAGTTGTTTATAACCTCTGAACAATGAGTGCAGTCTCTTCTGGACAGAGATAGAGCTGCAGCTGCTAGGAGGAGTACAAAATTGAGTTTTGGCAGAGCAAAAGCCATTACAGAGAAGCACATGAACGTTCCAGCGAAGACTGTTCTGGATTTGATATACTTTTGACCTTTAGGAAATGGCACATTGCCTACAAGCAGTTGTTGCTAACTCCTTGAAATAAACAACTATGCCTACATGTCTGGATGATTTAAATTCATAGATGTTGGAGCCATGATCAGACTACTTAAACTGCTACACTCCCCCAGCCATCAAATTCTCCACCAGTAATTGTGGTGTTGGTGGAAGTCTGTGTATTGCTCCCACAAAGCACCAGAGGGAAGGTTCCCAGGGAGGGAATCAGGACCTGTCAGGCAGAGGCAGTCTGCAGAGACAGAGGACAGGCTCTCTGCTAGATTACTGTCATGGGCAGCTGCACCCCTCTTGGCCTCCACAGTAAATCTCTGGGTCAGTTCTCTGCTCTTCTGGTAGTCTGATGTTGGTCTGTGGATCTCCTCTGGAGATCCATCACATCTTGAAGCCTGTTTGTTTCCCACAGTTCTCCTCTCACCCTTTTTCAACATGGCATCCATAACAGATGAGACTTATCTAGGAGCACCAGGCTCTTGCCCTTTGGATACTGGTCCAGGTCTCCCTTGCCAGGATACCACAAGAGAGGCACAGGATTCAATAAACATGAATAAAATAATCTCACACAGGATGAACCCAGTGCCCTGTGCTGCACTTCCAGTTCACTCACCACTGGGATTGCTAGAGGGTTGTCAGCACTTCTACATGCATTGTAGCAAATCATCTCTACTCTGGAAATCCTAACTGCTCTGTGACTGACCACTGTATTCTTCAGCATCCATGGCAGTGCTGTTACAAGCAGTCTAACATAAATCAAAACCATTGGAGTGGGGGATTGGACTAGATCTTTTGAGGTCCCTTCCAATCCCTAACATTCTGTGATTCAGAGGAGACTGCTCTGCAGATCCTTTGTCCTTCTATATAATTCTGTTATAGAAAGCCCTGCTGAAAGTGTAGTGTAGTGAGCTCCACACAATATAGACAGAAGCATCACAGGGGAGTTAACATCCAAAAAAGACAATAATTCAGCTTTTCCATGGGGAGCATGAGGGGTTAACAGGAGTTCTGAGGAGTGAGAAGGGGGAGTCCCTCTCTCTAGCTGCACTGTTCTGGTATGTTTTTTCCCCAAGCCTCTTTCTATTTGGGCTGGGCTGAACAGGCCTGGGCTGGCTCAGAACAGCCTGTCCTTCCATTCAACAAGAGAGCTGGGGCCCCCAGCAGCATATCCAGAAACCCATCCCTTCAGAAAAGTAAAAGGAAGACATTCCATAGCCTAAGAAATTCTAAACCCTATGACTCTTTACGCCTTTTTTCTCAAGTGGATAAAGGTCAGCACAATGCATAAGCCATATAGAGCTGTTCTTGCTTCCCACTCTAGCATCAGGCTTTCCTTGTCACACATCAACCCATCAGGTTCACTTTCTCCTAAAGATCCTCAGAAAAAACACATCTCAAGATATCAAACTCCCAAGATACTGGAAGATAGCACTGAGATGGTAGTCTCTGCTGTTTGTGACAGGGATTTTTTTTCTTATCTTCGAAAATTTCCACAAGTTCACCAGTTGTTTTGTTTCCTGAGGTAAGCAACTAACAACACACATAGCTCTAATACTTCACTTTGTTCTTTTTTGGCTGTGCTGTTGAAGATACAAGTCAAGGCCATGACAGTTGAAGAAGCCATTAGAACGATCCAGGTTGCAGAACGAGCTCGCCAAGGTCGTTGTCGAGCAGCATTCATGAAACAAATTTACTTTGAAGAGAAGGGAAAAAGACAAACTAAACTTCAGGTCCAAGAGGGTCCAAATCCAGATGATGCTGCCACGTGCATTCAAAAGGTGAAATCTCTGATTTAACAACAGTTCTGGCAAAAATAAATGACAAAGCTTTGTTCAGAAGAACAGTACAGAAAGACAGCTCATGAGATAGGAAGCAATCTGAAATGATAGCTTTCAGGGTGTCTAGCAAGGTGAGATACATCATTTAAACCACTTAAAATGAGACAGGACATGTGATACCAATGGAAACAGTCCTGCACTGGCAATGCAGGATGGCTTTATAACCTACATGTTGTTTTTCCATTCTGATTTTTATGACCTCAGTTGCTCTTTCTGGCATCCCTTTGGAATCCAGTGAGTCTCAAGGAATTCATGCCATTTTCCTGGGATCTCTAGGGTTTTTTGGAAAGACCTCATTCCATATCTTGAAAAGATGAGAAAAGGAGATCACTGCTAAATTCCAGCACATAAATAATAATTCAGACAGTTCAGCCTGATGAGAATAGGAACTCAATCTAAATTTTAAGTCTAAAAACTTTTTGAAACACTGCTAATGTTGTGTTTAGAAGGTAGATATACCAGTGTGAGGGGATAACAAACCTCAGAATTTGGGGGTTTTTTTAAAAAAAAATAAATTAGCAGATGGCAACCTGTTCAAGAGTAATAGTTTCAATTGTATATTGTGCCTTTCCTTCCTCTATTTGTTTTTTCCTGTGTCTGCCACAGTAAAGGAAACTGTAACAAGGCCCATTTATCTCATTAGAGTTTTGTTTACAATTCAGGTTTGGCGTGGATATATCCAGCGCAAGAAAACAGAGAAAATGAGAGAAGAGGAAATGATATTTCTGGGGATGGTAAGTAGTGCTGCCTAGAGAATAAGAAATGCCACACTCTATTTGTTCTTTGGAATTTTTGTAATTTAGCAAAAGATGAGAAATTAATTTCTAAGATGCTTCCTGTCTTAAAAGGAGTTTCTAAGGAATACAGAACTAAACTGAAGTGATAGATGGCACAGAAGTAGCACAATTTGTCTTACACTGCATGCTCT